CCCACACATTTAGGGAAACAACCCTAACTGAAAGCAACTCCTTATGGACACGTTGCCTGAGCACATTACTATTTTCAAAAGAGAACAAACGGTCAAAAACCTAAACGTCCATCACAGGAAATGTGGTTTCAGAAGTTTAATAGTACAGCTAACACTTATTTCATGTTTTCAACGAGCTAGGCATTGTGCTAAAATAGTCACGTGTGATACATCATTCCGTTCTACTCCAGTTATGAAGTAGCTAGTAGGCTTATGCCTGCTTTGCCGATGAGGAAACTGAGGCTGGGTGACGTTAGGGGAGCTACCCAGAGGTCCTGGGTTCTCACGGAGGTAGGATTAGAAGCAGGCAGTCTAACTCCAGAAACTGCATTTTTGCCACACTGTATCATCCCTCTCGATACATGTGTGTCTGTGGGCCTTTTGTGCACAGAGATGCACATCGATTTTAAATATTAGTCATCTATTTTAAGTAATTTTATATGCCATTTTCATAACATGGAAAATATTTGTTATAATATTGACTTAAAACAGAATATGAAACTGTCTATATAAGGACAACCTCTTAAAATATTTTAATTAAAATACTTTATATTTAAATATTTAATTAAAATACATACTTTATTTAGAAAAAGAAACACATTACTGTAGTAACAGTGATTATATTTGGACATTCTCCCTCTACATTTAATGTTCTGTCTTATTTACATTTTTTTTTAAAGTTTATTCATTTATTTTGAAAGAGAAACTACAAGTCAGGGAGAGCCAGAGAGGGGAGGGGAGGGGAGGGAGAGAGGGAGAGGGGGAGAGGGGGAGGGAGGGAGAGAGAGAGAGAGAGACTGAGAGAGAATCCCAAGCAGGCTCTGCACTGTCAGCACAGAGCCTGATGCGGGGCTCGAACCCACAAACTGTGAGATCAGGACCTGAGCCCAAGACGAGAGACAGACACTTAATTGACTGAGCCACCCAGGAGCTTCATGTCTTTTGGACCTTTTCAACCACGGGTCACCACTGGTAGATAATCAGGATGAGCTCCCTGGTGCTATATTTGCAAGCATTCAGCTGAGCTGAACTCTGACCTTGACGTGGCCTCCATTCTACTTGTCACATGTCCCAAAGCAAAGATGCCAGAGACCCCCGGCACCCAGCTTCAGTATATGGGCACAGTCTCTCACGTCCCATCGTCTCTACCCAGGAAGTGGTTTGGACAATTCTGGGGTAAAGCCACAAACCGCGGACAATCCCACAAGCCCTGCCCAAGGCTGCCTGCAAACGCCCAGCTCAGCACGGTCACCACACAGAGCGGGCCTGACCCAGAACCAAGACCACAAGCTGGTAAGTCAGGACCAGCCACACGCTGATCCAGTCCACACAGTGCTTTGGGCTTCATGGCGTTGTGTTTGCGTCTGGTTTTGTTCTTAATTAGTTTGTCTGACAATTTCCAATCCAGGCCATGCGGCAACTGGGACCTGGGATGGGGTCATAGCTGACCCCTCAGACAGGATGTGAGCCACCCTTGCCACAGTCCCCACCACTCCCTGCTGCCTTCCCTGGCACCAAAGCTGACTCGTGCTTGAGCTGCTGCTTTTGCAACGGCAGAGTGATAGTGAAAGTGAAACGTGTTCTGTGTCCACGTTTCAGTCAAAAGAGGAAAAATGAGATGTGGGTTAGGAGGGCTGTGGGTGTCAAGTAAAACGGAAGTGGGTACATTTTCCAGGTACCTCTGCTCACTTATGGTACCCTCCCAGGTCTCAGTGAGTCTTTGAGCCTTCCATCTCTGGCCTAGAGGGTTTCTGAGGGACGAGGAAAAGAAAGCCGCGTCCTTCCGCTTTCCTGGAGAGGCTCCTGGCGCAAAGTATGGCCTGGTGGCCCAATGCCAGCCTCTCCTGCTCCATACCCCGCAGCATGATAGCTACCAAAGACCTCCCCCCAGCCCCCACCCCCGCTCTCCCGCCCCAGGCAGCTGGACTGGGGGTGAACAACAGACCAGGCAGACACAGAATTCACACCCATCCCTTGGATTCCAGGAGCGGGGCCTATTACTTTAAACCATGTCCTTTTGGAGACATGCTCCCAGCCCACTTTCTCCCTCAAGACCGATGCTAGATTTGTGGTAACTTTGTGCCAAGGCCCGAGGAGTGTTATCAAAGCTGCTTCTACATCCGGGCAGACAAAGAAACAGCACCAGTGGGCCCTGAGTCACTCCACTTCCCCCCGGGGGAGGAACCTAAGGACATGCCTCGGGCTCCCCGTTGTAAAGGTCTAGGAACGGGGTTGCTAGGAAGATGAGACTCACACTGAGCTCTTCACATGGTGCCTGGCACAGGATACAGGTTCAGTAAATACTAGCTACTCAGCCCCCACTGCTGTGATCTGGCTGAGCCCAGACGAGAGGCTTGGGGAGCACAGCTCAGGCGGATGCTAGAGTCCTCATTTCTACCCTCCCTGCACTTGCTCAGGTAAACCGCCTTTGTCCTCATACCTGCCAGCTAAGCCCCGGGGGGCCCAGGTGCTAAGACTTAGAACTGCAGAGCTGAGAAATGTTTGCCTGCAGGAAATTCCCCTGTCCTCTTATTAAGAGCCTCCCCTGAGTGCACAAAAGGCCAGTTTCGTGGCACATTGAAAAGGACAGAATAAACACATGTTCATTTTCTGTTGCTGCCTCGAGGGATTGGCTAAAGAGAGGGCTATAGCCTGGGAGGGCTATACGTCAGGCTCTCTTGGTTGCTGGTGAGCAAGCACAGGTGACCCTCAGTGCTGTGCTGGCCCAGATCAAGTGCGTACCTAGTGTGCTGGGCAAATGAACAGGGCTAACAGCTATACAGACCTTACAGTGTCGAGCTGGGGTGTGAGTTGAAAGGCACACACACAGTCAGGCATCCAGTGAGCTGTTGCAGCTGCCCAGCTCCCTAAAACTGGCTGGTTGCACCCAGCTTTGGGACCCTTCTTGGGTCTGGCCCTTCCTGAACTGTCTCCCATCCTTCCTCCAAGCGCCAGAGGCTTTTAGCCTGGCCTCAAGATCCCCTGTGGTTCAGGCCTTGGCCTGCCAGGTTATAGCCACCATTCTAGCACCCTCTGTGGGGAAGGTTGAGGGTGGGAGAGGGCAGGACAGAGGATGGAATCACTTAATTTGCCTCCAAATGTCCCAGGCTTTCCTAAGGAAGGCATTTCTTGAGAAACACCTCCCCCGGTGTCCGGGCTGGCTGTGCCTCGCCTCCCCCAGTAGGCACACGCACGCCTAGCCCTTTTTTCTCCCTTTCCGGGGTCAAAGGGCCCAGGTTGTGAAGGACGCAGGTCTGCCCCCAGGAGCAGAAGACTCATCAATGGTAAATCTTCCAACATCCAGACCCAAAGAGTTTTAAGACTTAAGGAGAGAGTTCTTCTCTGCCTGAGATGGACATAAAGCTTTCCTGAAATAGGACAGAGAAAACACCAGGCTGGGGGCCAGGACTCCCTGTTCTGTCTGTTCATGATGTTCATTCCTCTACATCTTTGCTTTTGCCTCTGGGACAGGACCAGATCAGCAAGCTTCAGACATTTCTGTGAGGTGCAACCCTTCGGCTCAACTAAGTTGTACCAAGACATGACTCAGTATGTCAAACAGGTGGAGGTGGGATCCCCTTGCCCCGCAGGTCTCTTAGAGGTCCCAACAGGGGTGTGCTGTAACCCTCCAGATGAGCCAACCTGTTTCTTGCCCTGTGTCACCCACATGATGACAGTGACCGTGGGCCTGGGGCGTACTGAGCACCCTTGAGGCATGACGCAACTGGCTAGGGCCGCTGGTCCCAGGCCCTCCGCATGCCCCAGTGGGGATACCAGCATCGTGCTCAGAGAATGTACAGCCTTGTCCCGAATACATTCTGGGCTGGACAAGATGTGCGGGCTGAATCAAGGCAGAAGAGCTGCTGGGCTGGCTGGAATGCTCCCCAGTATATTACAGGGCTTTGACTGTGGAGCCCAGCTGAGCCCCAGCCTCTGAGGGCAGAGACGTCACATACAGGTCATTCAAAAGGCTGCCAGGGAGAGGAGTCTTATCCATGAGAGCTGTCAGCCCAGACCAGACATCTGAGTTGTCAGGAAGCACCACAGATCCAGCCCTTCCATTATATAGAAAGGAGACAGTGGCCCAGGCAGGAGCGTATCTTAACCTGACGAGACAGAGTGCAGTCAGAATCAAGAACCATACGTGGAGGGATTGAAACCTAAGGCCCCCAGCTTGTCTTTCCGTGCAAGCTGGCACTTTCTACTCTGCACACCAAGTGCCTTCCCGTTCTTTCCATCCTCCTTTATCAAAACCACTCCCAGGAAAAGACACAGAAACTCCTTTCTCAGCAGAGAGGAAGTAACAGACTCGGCATGTGGTACAGGGTTGCTGTGTAGCACACCAAGAAATGAAGCTCTAACTAAAGTCAAGGAGGGGGAGAGGAGTGACCCCTCACCCCCTACAGCTGGTGGTCTAGGTATGAGACGTCCTGGCTGCACACCCTGGTGTTGTGGACAAGTGTGTGGGTTTGAGATCCGTCTGTGAGTTCCTCAGGTCCCCATGCCTGATTTAATGCTCTGGGACGCTCTTTGAAAATTCTTAATAATTTTTCGATAAAGAATCCCACATTTTCCTCCCACACTGGACACTGCAAATTATGTAGCTGCTCCTCACCCACCGGTCATTAGCTGTGTGGCCTTGTATAAGTGTCTCAACCTCTGAGAGACTTGGTTTTCTCCTCTGCAAAATGGACGCAGTAATAGCACCTGCCTTACACAATTGTTATGAAGACCAATTAAGTGAACATACACAGGGCTCTAGGTAGGCGCCTGGCACAGAACAATTGATTAATCATCTAATTAATGATAGATACTACAGATAAGAAGAATAATTATAGACTATCACGTGACAATGCAGATGCTCCGCTCAATAAAAAGGATATTAACAACTGCAGCCCAGACCGGCGAACCAGCCAAGGGTCGCAGGTACCCAGGCATCAGGACCCCTCCCCTACTCTTACCTTCCCGAAATGGCTGTGTTTGCATCTGCAGCCGGATCTTGATGAGGTCTACGGGCGTGCCCAGCCCCACAGAGACCACGCCAGCCACCATGCTGGCCAGGAGAAGGTCAGACAGGGTGCCGGACGGGCTGGCCCCGGGCTCCCTGCAGTGGTGCTGGCTGAGGAACCTCTGCGTGTTACTGAAGACCCCAAACACCGCAGAGTTGTAGACCGCGATGCTGGCAAGGGGAAAGGACATGCCCTTGAAGAAGCCGAAGACCTGTGGGACGAGGGCGGTGGAGCATGAGGGCCCAGGGACGTCTGCAGGCCAAGGCGCCGAGCTCCCCACGCTGCCCTCCACACAGTCCCTGCCCGCCTGGGAGCCCGCAGGCTGGTGAGGGGACACTACAGGAAACATAAATCATTATGACAGTGACAAGAGTACAAGAGGATGCTGCGTGATAGGAGAGCCATGGCAGGTGAGGGGGTGCTCTCCAGGGCATTCTTGCCCTGGGCGGAGAAATCAGCGCGTGTATGCAGTTTTGTTTCCGTATTTGCCACCAGGGTGGCCGTGTTCTTGGGCTGGACGGATATCAGGCTGCGAGGAGCCCTAGAGGGTAGCACAGACTTGCCAAGCACCATTCTCTGAAACATCTGCCAGGTGCCAGGGGGACATGCGGACACCATAAGAAATCCTCGCTGCCCTCACTGAGCCTACGCTCTGGGTGCAGGAAAGGGGAGGGGGACAGGGCCCGACAAACTGACTGAAACTGACAGGTGACTAAAATTCAATGGGCCAAGTCTATGGGGAGGGTCTAAGGGGAGCAGAGTCCTCAGAAGGCTTCTGCACATACGCGGAAACCACAGGAGAGGGGGCTGCAGGCTGAGGAGAGGGTCCTTTCCACACTGCACTCTTTTAAAAAAAAATTTTTTTTTTAATGTTTATTTATTTTTGAGAGAGGGAGAGAGTGACGGAGGGAGAGAGGGAGGGAGAGACAGAGAACGAGCTGGGGAGGGGCAGAGAGAGAGGGAGACACAGAACTTGAGCTGTCAGCCCAGAGCCCAGTGCAGGGCTTGAACCCACAAACTGTGAGGTCATGACCTGAGCCTAAGTCGGACGCCTAACCGACTGAGCCACCCAGGCTCCCCTCCACCCTGCACTCTTGAGGAACATCACAGACACTCCTCTGAAACCTGGAAAATTCCAGAGGCCCTTGGAGGAGTTAGGCCAGCACATACTTTTAGCTCTGTGCCAAAAGCGAAAAAGCACCAGGAAGCTGTTGTACAAACTCCAGGGCCGACACAAACCTGCTAATCCTGACCTAGGTGTTTGTGCCCTATCTGTCAGAGGCAGGACGCCTCCCACGCACACGTTCACACACAGCCTGCCTCAGGTCCTCCCTCCAAAACAAGCTCCTCCAGATAACGTGGGACATCACTTAGCCCCAAAGGGCTGTGTCTCCAAGGAACGCCCACAGTTCCCACAAAACCCCCGGCGCTGGGACATTGGCTGGCAGGCAATGGGGACCATGTGTGCCAAAAAGGAGAATTGATGGCCACCTTTCAGGGGAGTGACGAATTGCACATCGCCGGGAACAGCTAGAGTGAGGTTTGTAGTCCGTTGTCAAGCAGCCTATCAAGAGAGTTAGAACACCCAAACAAAAAACACACCTCTGAGGAAAATCTCCGAGTGCGGATGGGAGGCTCCCGAGCCCCAGGGCACCTCCTATGATGGAGGTCGTGGAAGAGGTGGTGGTCAGCAATGGGGCCAGGTTTCCAGGGACTCAAGGGAAAGCCCAGGGCTGCCACGGGGCTTGTAACTGACCGCTTCTTTAAATTGTCATTTCAGGGGCGCCTGGGTGGCTCAGTCGGTTAAGCGTCCGACTTCGGCTCAGGTCACTATCTCACAGTTCGTGAGTTCGAGCCCCGTGTCGGGCTCTGTGCTGAAAGCTCAGAGCCTGGAGCCTGTTTCAGATTCTGTGTCTCCCTCTCTCTGACCCTCCCCCGTTCATGCTCTGTCTCTGTCTCAAAAATAAATAAACGTTAAAATAAATAAATAGTCATTTCATCACAAATCAGAAAATGTATTTTAAACTCCCCAAAGAGGGGCCTGAGAAAGTCTTCGGAAAGCACACGCTAATTCTCAAGAATTATAAAATATTATTCAAAACTGGGGCACCTGGGTGGCTCAGTCAGTTAGGTGTGCGACTTTGGATTTCAGCTCACGTCATGATCTCAGGGTTTGTGAGTTCGAGCCCTGAGTCAGGCTCTGCGCTGACAGGGTGGGAGCTGCTTGGGATTCTATCTCTCTCTGTCTCTCTCTGGACCTCCCCCGCTCATATGCATGCGTGTCCTCTCTCTCTCTCAAAAATAAACAAACTTAAAAAAGTATTATTCAGCTTTCCCCTTGGAAAAGGAAAATCTTGGTCCTCCTGGTCTCAAGAAACCTGAGGTACAAGTCAGCGCTGGACATCTGGAATCAGAAGGGCCCGGGGCGCCTGGGTGGCGCAGACGGTTAAGCGTCCGACTTCAGCCAGGTCACGATCTCGTGGTCCGTGAGTTCGAGCCCCGCGTCAGGCTCTGGGCCGATGGCTCAGAGCCTGGAGCCTGTTTCCGATTCTGTGTCTCCCTCTCTCTCTGCCCCTCCCCCGTTCATGCTCTGTCTCTCTCTGTCCCAAAAATAAATAAACGTTGAAAAAAAAAAAATTTAAAAAAAAAAAAAAAAAAGAAGGGCCTGGCTCCCGCCACAGGAAGGGAAGCCAGTGAGTGTGTGGTTTAGTGACTTCTCGTTTGGCTTTGAAAATGGACGGGTCACCCTGTTTTCACAGGACTTCTCCTTCCTGTGACTCCAAATTCCTTAGAATTTCTCCAGAGAGGTTACACAAAATCGGGTCTCTCTCCAGTAACACTGCACAAGGTGTCAGGGTTAAGTTTAGGTGACGCACGACACTTGAGGTGTGGTGGTGTGAGATGAGGAGGGAGGAGGCGACGCTGAGCCAAAAGCAATGATCAGGCCTCCCGCCCGATGGGCTGGTGTCAGGACTGTGGCCACGGTGCCCGGGCCTGGGCAGGCTTCGAGCCGTTCGTTCGTGGGAGTCCCTGGCGGGTGCGGCTCCAGGCCCTGCCCCGGGGCGGGGGGCACTTACACTCTCCCTCCTGTACACCGTGCGGATGCAGCTGATGGTGTCCCCGTAGTTGACGCCGGCCTGCAGGCGAGTCTGCGGAGAGATGCAGTGACGTGAGGGCCCAGGACGGGATCATTCACATCCCCGCTGCCCCAGAGATGCTGACCTTGTGGCGCCGGGGCCCGGAGAGGGGAAGGCCCTGCCCCAAGTGACCTGGCCAGGGAGGAGGGTTGGGTTTCTGTCCCCACCAGGCCTGCGCTCTGTCCTCTACCTGCACCGCCTCCCTCAATGTCCCATTCAGACCTTGCTGAACATAGCAGAAGTCTTCCTGGTCTGAGAGAAGAACAAAGGCCCGTTTGTTGTTCCAAAGTGATGCCTGAATGATCGACATGTGATCCCTGTCTCTTGACTACAAAAACTAATCCGTGGCCCTGCTCTGTCTGCTGTCCACACTCTGCCGTCCTCAGTATTAGCAGAGCGACTTGTCCTTCTCACCCCCCCGGAACCCCCGCATCTCCCCGCTGGAGGATGGGCTGGTCTCCCCACTGGTCTCCCCGCTGGAGGATGGGCTGGTCTCCCCACTGGTCTCCCCGCTGGAGGATGGGCTGGTCTTCCCTCTCACCCCTTCGCCTGCATCTGCACAGCAGTCACGCTGTTCTCTTCCAACCACAGTGAATCACACCACTGCCATTCAAAGTTCACTGGTGGCTTCCCAGCAAACCTAGAGTAAACCCCACCCTCTCTGCCAGCGTCCAGGAGGCCTGGGACTGCCTGCCTCTCACCCCTGCATGTCATTTTCTCCATGCTCCTGCCGTCTGGGCCCACCACGTGGCACGTCCCCAAGTCCTTAGAATGTCACTTTCCCCCTTCCCCTCCCTGCCTGAAATTTCTATCAGCCCTTCCTTCCCCCCCGAAGGCTCTTCCTCCAGCTCCTGCTCATCTTTTCGGTCTGAACTTAAATGTTGCAATGGTGTCCTTTCTCTAATTATGGCTTATTTGGGCTCACTCTCTATGGCAGGGTCGTCTCGTATTTCCCTCCTGTCCCCAAGCTGAGCGCGGCCCTAGCACGTGTCCCCTTTGCACTGGATGAAGGAGGGGCTGGAGGGGAAGATGTGGTGTCCTATGATGGAGGCTGGCTCTGGTGATCAGGGGCATGAGTTGACAGCCACAGAGGGTCTGAGGAAGCCCACAAAAGGGCCAGGGCACCCCCCTTGAAACTGGTAAGAAGGAGCCCTGAGAACCACAGAAGGAATGATCTGGACCCTGCCCCCTAGAATCCAGGGTCCAGGGACCACTAAGACCCATGAGGCAGACTAATACTCTACACTAACAGCCTGAGCTCAGTCTGCAGACAGGTAGCAGAAACTTAGGCAGAACACACATCATAAAAGTGACGGCCTCTGAGGGGAAAATCATGGGTGATGTTTTTCTGCACTGAACTGCATTTCATTTTCCAACTTTCCCACGATAGACAGGAGTTACTTTCGTTGTTTTTAGCTTACATAATTTAAAAATAATTTTCAGTACACAGCTCATGTGGGAATACATTTTCTTAATAAAAAAATTCCAACATTCTCCCTCCGCACCCCCTCTCTGAGCTAATAACCATGGCTAACAGCACGGCTAAGAGCTCAACATTCATCACAACAGTGTTAGAAACCCAGCTGGCCACAGGCAATCTGTAGCGCTCTTACAGGTACAATACGTAAATGGTATCCTATGTTTCATAAAGATTGCTTTCATAATCAGAGAAATGTATTGATTGACTCACTCAACCAGTACTACTGAACGCCTGTTTTATAACAGTCACTGATTTACTCTCAGGAAATTCAGTGGTAGAGAAAACAAACTTACTGGCCTCCTGGAACTTATACCCAAGTGGGGATGGAAAAAAACAGCCAATAAAAGGTAATTCCCAATCAAATATATATGCCAGATGATGACAGGTGCCATGGAGAAAAAGAGACCCAGGGTCAAGAGTGTGGGCTGGTTGAAGGAAATGCAATATTAAGTCAGGTGGAGGTGAAGACACCCTGGAAGGTGTAGCAAGATGAGAACAGGGAATTCATGGTCTTCCCATTAAGCAGACCCACAGAGGTCTACCTGGGGGTGGGGTATCCCCAACCAGGATGAGAACGTAGGCAAGGGGAGGTGGGCACGGGCCTCTTTCTCGTCCCCATTTAAGACTGGCATAAAGAGGCCAAATGCCCTCTCCCACTGGCCCCAGCGCGGACAGGGATGCCTCTGGGTACCGAATCCACAAAAAGGTTGAGTCCCCAAGAAGAATCAAGTTCCACTGAAAAACTCGCGGGCTCGAATCACTCAAGCAAACCGTACACGAGGAAACTCAACTCAAGAGTCAAACCCAGATCACAGAATACTTTCAAAACCATGGAGCGATGGTCTCCCTGCCACGCTGAGCGCCTGAGGAGGCCGCCCCTGTGGCCAGCAGCACAGTGCACCGTCATAACAGGTGCCTGTATTCAGTGTAGGACAACTGCACTCCTGGGGAAACATGGGGCATCCTACAGAACTTCTCTCGCGGAACCCCACAAACACTAGGCAGCATGGATACTATCCCCTTTCACAGATGGACAAAGCGGTCTTCCTCTATTCGCTTCCTGTTGCCGCTGTAACGAATTATGACAAATGTAGCGGCTTGCAACAATGCCTACTTGCTCTCCCATAGTTCACTAGCTGGTCTAAAGGCAGCTGAGCCCTGATTAGTAAACCCTGGTAAGTCACACTGCATCAGGCATACACCCCAAATGCCCCAGCTGTGCCGAGAGCCAGGTGAGAATCCGGATCCCAGCTCCACGGCCAGCAAGCAGCCACGGGCTGGCTCTCATACTTGGGTGAGGTAGCCAAGGGCAGGGGAAGGAGCCTGACCAGGTCCTTTTAGCTGGGCTCTTCCAAGGGCAAGCCCTGGGACCTCAGACAAGTCACAACGCACTCCCAACATCCCAGCAGGGGTGTTCATCAG